CGACGCCGGTCACGATGGAGGCGAAGTTGTCATCGAGGAGGATCATGTCGGCGGCCTGCTTCGACACGTCCGAGCCGGCGATGCCCATGGCGATGCCAATGTCGGCCTTCTTCAGGGCGGGCGAGTCGTTGACGCCGTCGCCGGTGACGGCGACGATGGCTCCTGAAGAAGATAAAAGGAGTGATTAGGTTTTGGTGCTCTAAAAAGGAGAACTTCAAGAAACAACTTACCCGCCCGCTGACACGACTCGACGATGCACAGTTTCTATTTTGTTGTTTTGGTGAGGAAAAAGTGGTGAGATAAAATGTAAACAAAACAGCTTTTCGCCTACCTGCTGCGGCGACGTCCGCGCAAAGACAATCTCCGTGTGGTTGCGCAGAATCTGATCCAGCACACTCTCCTTCATGTCCTTCAGCTCCTGGCCGTGGACGACGGCCGCCTTCGCCTCCGCCGGGTCGACCTCCTCCACGGGAACGCCCNCGCAGAATCTGATCCAGCACGCTCTCCTTCATGTCCTTCAGCTCCTGGCCGTGGACGACGGCCGCCTTCGCCTCCGCCGGGTCGACCTCCTCCACGGGAACGCCCAGCCGCAGGGCAATGTCCTCCACCGTCTCGGTGCCCTCGCTGATGATGCCCACCGCCTTGGCGATGGCCTTCGCGGTGATTCTGTTTAGAAGGGAGAAAGGATTAGATACAGTTAAAGATAACAAATCAGTAGAACACTCACGGATGATCCCCCGTGACCATGATGACCTTGATGCCAGCGGACCGGCACTTCGCCACCGCATCCGGCACCGCCGCCCTCGGCGGGTCAATCATCGAAACGAGGCCCAGAAATCGAAGCCCGTCCAGCGGAAAGTTGCCCTCATCCGGGTCGAAAGGGTACCCGGGCGGGTACCGCTCCACCGGCAGCCGATAGTCGCAGAAGCCGATCACCCGCTCGCCCAGGCCGCCCAGCTCGAGGTAGGCGGCGTGGAAGGCCGCCCTAAAGGGCTCGTCAATCACCACCTCGACGCCGTTGTTGAAGACGGTGGTGCACCGCTCGAGGACCCGCTCCGGAGCGCCCTTCATCACCAGGAGGTAGCAGGAGGAGTAGGAATTCGGGTCCGCCGAAGCTTCCCCATCACCCACCACCTCCCGCCGCTCCTCCGTCTCGTGGATCGTCAGGTGGTACTTGTTGGTGGAGTTGAAGGGAATCTCGCAGATCTTGCAGTTTCGCCGGCGGTAGTCCTCCACGCCGCCGATGGCTATTTCCATGCACTTGAGGATGGCCGACTCGGAGGCGTCGCCGGTGCAGTCGCTGGCAGGCAGTGGGTGGTTGTTTGGGTGGAAATAGATATCGAAAATGAGGTTTTGAAGATTTTCTTCAAGGTCTTCGAAAAATCTTTCGAAATATCATCGAAACTTACCGCTTCAGCACGGCAATCGCCTCCTGACCGGGCTTAAACTCCGCCCGACTGCACAAACAGCAGGCGCGGCTAAGGGAGCGCCAGCAGGGCGAGCTGCTCTTGTCCCAGCGGGCCGCGGCGCCCGAGGACTGGTCCTCGGTGGTGTCCGCCTCCACTATTTTTCCGTCGAACCACATGTGCGAGACGGTCATTCGATTCTGCGTCAGCGTCCCCGTCTTGTCCGAGCAGATGGTCGAGGTGCTGCCCAGCGTCTCCACCGCCTCCAGGTTCTTCACCAGGCAGTTCTTGCTGGCCATTCTNCTCCACTATTTTTCCGTCGAACCACATGTGCGAGACGGTCATTCGATTCTGCGTCAGCGTCCCCGTCTTGTCCGAGCAGATGGTCGAGGTGCTGCCCAGCGTCTCCACCGCCTCCAGGTTCTTCACCAGGCAGTTCTTGCTGGCCATTCTCTGAGAGGAAGTTTTTGAGGTAAGTTGTGGATTTTAATGTTCGATTGTTTGTTTACCTTTGCCGTGAGAGTCAGGCAGACGGTGACCGTAGCGAGCAGACCCTCCGGAACATTGGCGACGATGATGCCGATGAGGAAGATGACCGCGTCCAGCCAGTGGTAGCCGAGGATGAAGGAGATGACGAAGAAGGTGACGCCGAGGAAGACGGCCACGCCGGTGNATGCCGATGAGGAAGATGACCGCGTCCAGCCAGTGGTAGCCGAGGATGAAGGAGATGACGAAGAAGGTGACGCCGAGGAAGACGGCCACGCCGGTGATGATGTGGATGAAGTGCTCGATCTGCAAGAAACAAATCAGTCAAGTCATCTGAAGAATCTCCCCAAACAACTCACCTCCCTCGCAATGGGCGTCTCGCCCATCTCCAGCCCACTGGCGAGATTGGCAATGCGGCCCATGATCGTCCGATCGCCGGTGTTGATCACCACGCCCTGGGCGGTGCCCTCGACACAGTTGGTGGAGAAGAAGGCCAAATTGCGCGTCTCCAGCGGGTTATCGTGCGTCAGCTCCGGAGAGCGGGTCTGCGGCTCTGATTCGCCCGTCAGCGAGCTGTTGTCCACCTGAAAAGATTCGAAGAAGATTCAGTAAAAAGAAATCAAAAAAGAAGCTCTTACCTTGCAGCCATGCGACTTGAGGATGCGAATATCGGCCGGCACCCGATCCCCGCCCTTCACCTCGATCACATCGCCAATGACAATGTCCTCCGCGGGGATGATGTTCTTCTGGCCTTCGCGGACGACGGTCGCATACTGCGGGACCATGTTCTTGAAACTTTGAGGTTCGAAAAAGGTAAAAAAAGTTGCAAAACTATAAACACTTGAAAGACTCAATTTGTCAATTACCTTTCCATGATGGCAGAGGACTTTGCCTCCTGGTAGTAGCTGAAGCAGCCGGTGATGATGACGACGCCGGCGAGGACGATGCCGAGGTACAACTGTGGAAAATTTCGAAATTTTAGAAAGAGGAACCGAGCTTTTTCAAAAGCACTCACATTATCCGGCGAGGGCTCCTCCAGCGTGCTCGCCTGAATCGAGTAGGCGAGAAAGCAGAGGACGGCGCCGATCCAGAGGAGCAGTGCAAATCCGCCAAAGAGCTGCTTGCAAAATTTCACCCACTCGGGCGTCTTCTTCGGCGGCGTCAGCGCATTTGGACCGTCCCGTTCCAACACGGCCTTTGCCTGCGAGAAGGTCAGTCCGCTGTCCGAGTTCGTTTTCAGCCGCGAGAAGAGCTCCTCGACGCTGATCTTGTGCTCGTCCATGATCACCTCCTGCTTCAGCTCGTCCAGCTCCGGTTCTCTTCCTCCGCCTGAGTTGTTGTTTTTAGCGGCTTTTTTGCCATTGTTTTCTTTATTTGCCGTCATTTTGAAGTTTGTTTTTCAAGGTACGAATTCGGAAATCTTCAAACTTCTAAGTATGTGGTAATGATGATGAAAAAGAAGTGAGCAAGTGACCGAGGTGGTCAAAAACTAAACATCAACAACAACAACAGCAACAAAGAATGAAAGAACAAAAGAGGAAAGCTGCCAAGGCGTCATAAGTAGTGTTCAGGCGTCATTTTTTTCGGTATTTGCTACTTCAGTGCACTCAAGCGTAGCAGTTTTATCGTATTTTCTTCTTTATCAAAGAAAAAGAAGTGATTGAAGAAGGGCGTTAAGGTCTTCTGAGCAAGTGAATGTGTAACTACCACAGTCCCAGTTTCAGGCTTCAACTTTTCAGTCTTTCTCAGCTGATCATCTTCATCAGCACAACATCACCTACCGCTCACGTGGTCATTCTTTGTGGTGGTGGTGGTGGTGATGGTAATACTGGTGATAAAGATCGACAGCAGCGCTAAGTGCATAATAATGGATTGGGGAATGGAATATATGCTAAGAGGACATCAAGAAAATGGTGGTGCTGGGGTAATAATGATGATGGCGGTGATGATGCGGTCGCAGCAGCAGCAGCAGCAGAAATGACAGTGACAGCAGCATCCAAACTCGAAACTCTCACTCTTCACTGCCTACAATTGTGTCCGTCTGTCTGTGTGTGTGTGTG